TAGCTTGCAGAACCTGCTTGGCTTTCTGTGGATCTTCTCAATCCTCACTCGTCCAGAAGAACTCCTATCTACAAACTCTCTGAACTTTGTATATATTTGGAATAATTCATGTATTTGTTGCGGAAAGGGACCCCTATCTTCATCATGACAGTACCTACCACAGTGCCTGGAAGACAGCAGGACTCGATACATATTTGTTAAACTAAAGTGCTGCTTCTCATCAGATGAAGAAGCCCACCTCATACAGGCATTGTATTTTGGTAAATTGTTATTTCAAATTAGAAAGAAATTTGTTAAGCAATGATATTGCTATTTCATATATTTAGATGATTTTAATAAAAAATTTTTAAAGCAATTCTATATAAATGGAAAGGTCAGTTGTTTGATTCAAATTTACCTTGCTTCCTTAGGAGCAACACTTTATTGACTCTTCCCTTTTTGTCACCTCATAATCTATGAGTATGTCCTATCTCTCCCACCTCTAAAATATATGCTAAATCTGCCCCCTTCTCTTCATTCCACTGCCACTCCAGGTCACCATCGTCTCTCATCTGGACTTCTGCAAAAGCCTTATGTTCTAACAGCCTACCTGTTCTCAGAACAACAGCTGGAGTGCTCTCATATAAATATTCAAATATAAATCAAATCATGTTACTTTCCTGCTACAAAACCTCCAATTGTTTCCCATTGCACCAGAATATTCGAACTCCTTACCAGGATCTACAAAGTCCGAAATGATTTGCCCTCCAGCACCCATGCTCTGACTGTACCTAGACCACTAGCCCTTGTACACTATTCCTGCTTCATTAGCACTGTCTCTGTTCCTTGATCTTTTTACCATCTTAGAGCCTCCGCTCTTGCTCCCTCAACCTCTAGATCCCTGCATGGCTGCCTCCTCCTTTTCATTCAGGTCTCAGCTCAAATGGCACCTCCTCAAAGAGACCCCTTGTTACCCAATTTAAAGCAGCTCCTCAGGCCCTCTATCCACACCACCCTGTGTCATTTTCTTCATAGAACTAATCACTTGGAGCCCTGGTGGCCCAGTGGTTAAGAGCTCAGCTGCTAACCAGAAGGCTGGCAGTTCAAATCCACCAGTCACTCCTTGGAAACTCTACGGTGCAGTTCTACTCTGTCCCTATAGGGTCGCTGTGAGTTGGAATTGACTCGATGGCAAGAGGTTTTGGTTTTGGTTTACTAATCACTCAGTAGAGTTGAGTGGTAAAGCACATGGACGACGGGGAGGGGGAACACTTAATCTTTCCATGCTTTGGCTTTCAGAATACCAATAGTACCCACCTCATAGAATTGTTGGGAAGACGAAATGAGTTAACAAATTCTAAATGATTATCACTGAACCTGGCTCATGGAAAGCCATGTTAACTAGTATTATTTATCTGTTTCCTTGTTCTTTGGCCCACCCTTCTGTGCCCTCATGACACTCACTACTCTCCCCCCAACCAAGCATGTAAAATCAGTAAGAGCAGAGACCTTACTGCCTTGCCTGCCTCCTTTATTTCCCAGTGCCTAGAACAGTATCTTTGTGGGGGCAATGGTGGTTCAGTGGTAGAATTCTCACCTTCCACGTGGAAGACCCAGTAAATGAATAATTTCTTCTGTAAGGATCAGCACAAAGCTAGTTCCTATGAGGCAGAGGTTAAAGGTGTCCCAAATGTCCCACTCTTCCAAACTGCTGTACCACTCCGTCATTTCTAACATCACTACTCCTCCGCCCCTCAGTACTCTCCGTCTCGTCTTTGGGTTCGATAATTCACTGCAACTTCTCAAAGAACTCACAAACCATACTTACAGTTAAGTCGTTTATTAGGGAAGTAACAAGTACAACTCAGGATCAGGATCAACTTGGAAGTAACAGGAACAACCCAGGATGCAGTTCTTCGATCAGGACAGCTTCTTCTTGCCCTCTCCCACCAGGCCCTGCTGGGGCCTTGCTGCCGCTGGTCTCCCAGTTCCTGTGGTCTCGCACCACCATCTCTTTTTCTACTGCTGTGCCGTTGTCTCTCACTGTCTTCTGTGTTACAGCTCCCCTCTCTCACTCTCTCCATGTCTTCCTTTAAGTCTAGCAGGATGGCAAAACTGACCAACTCCCTTGTTAGGGTTCTATACACCTAATTTGCATGGTCCAACCCCTACAAGTGTTCCATGAACCTTATTTGCCTCAGCAGCAAGCTGTCCAATCCCCATTGGTGGGCTTTAAGCACCTTATTTGCATAGTCCCACCCAATCATTGTGTGGGAGTCACAAAGACTATGGCTAAAAGAGCCATATTAAGTAATTAATTGCACTACACCTGGGTTTGATTCCTGGCTGATGCACCTCACGCAGAGCATCATCTGTCAGTGGAGGCTTGCGTGTTGCCACAATGCTGAACAGCTTTCAACAAAGCTTCCAGACAAAGATGGACTAGGAAGAAAGGCTTGGTGATCTACTTCTGAAAATCAACCAAGGAAAACCCTATGGATCAAAGTAGTCCAATCTACAACCAATCATGGGGATGACACAGGACTGGGCAGTGTTTTATTTCGTTGTGCATGGGGTTGGCATGAGTTGGGGGTGGCCATGAGTCAGGGGTTGACTCAATGGTAACTAAAAATAACAACAATAGAACAGCACCTGGCACATAGTAGGCCAGGTATAGTTGTTGAATGAATAAAGTATTGGAAACAAGTAATAAAGATATTAAAGTTTATCTCAAATTCGTCTCATTAAAAAAAAAAAAAAACAACTCTTAGATCTACAGAAGAAGCACTGAAAATTATTGCAGTTTCTTTTTTCTGTCTTCTTTTCCATCTTGTAGTACACTGCTTAAGGGAAGCTGTACTGCACTGGGAGGAAGGAGAAGAAAATATTTATTCTATCACTTATAAGCTAGAGGAGTATGGATAAGGCATATAGCAGCTCTGGGCCTCAAGAGCTTCATTAACAAAATTAAGTTTGTAACTATTGCTGAAGATAGAGGGATGGGTCATGTGGGTTTTTTGCTTTTCTTTTTTTGGTCATTAGCTCTAAGATCTATGCTTTTGTGAATATGTAGTCAAAATCTAGGATAAATATATTAAAGCCTGCAAGTTCAAATATTGAATTATTTTGCAGATTACCTGAAAGCAAATAATTCTCTGGGATTATTTCTAATCATTCATTTTTCTAACTTTATGCACAAACGCTCACACACAAACACATATATCCCTATCTGTTTAGAGTTATATGCTATTAATCAGTAGTCACAAAAAAAAGATAGAAAACAATTATCTCAAACTCGAATGCTTGAAACACTATTTAAACCTCTCTTTCATATAAATATTTTCCTCCAACTTTGAACAAGAAGCCAATTTTCTCCTAATAATTTCACTACTAGGCCCAAATTTATAGTTATTTCACATCTTTGGATTGGATTAAATTTTTTAAATTCCTATATTAAGGTGCATAATTATATCTCCCAAGGAGCCATGGTGGCACGATGGTTAAGTGCTTGGCTGCTAATCGAAAGGGGGTGGTTCAAACCACTCAGCCACCCGTGGGAGAGAGATCTGGTGATCTGCTCCTTTAAAGATTACCTGTTGCCGTTGAGTGGATTCCAAGTCTTAGCAACCCTATAGGACAGAGTAGAACTGCCCAATAGGGTTTCCAAGGAGTGGCTGGTGGATTTGAACTACCAAAGTTTTGGTTAGCAGCTGAGGTCTTGACAACTGTGTTACCAGGGCTCCCCCTTAAAGATTAGTCCAAAATTGTCTATGAGCCACCTAACAACAACAACAATTACATATCTCAGGTGTTTGAAGGCGTTAATCAACAAATTTGGAGTTGTTCTCCCGTCTCCAACTTGAAACAATTCTTCCAAATGTTTTCCTTCTGGATTTCTGGTTGTAATTTCAGCTAGTGAAGTTCTCTTTCTCTCTCCCATTCCATACTTTTCCTCTCCCATTTTGAATCTGTATTCAAAGACTTTTCCTGCTACCACTGACCCACTGAAATAATTTTTTAAGGTGATATGCACCAAGGTTCTCCATTACAAAGCTATTGTTTTTCCTTTTGTAATAAATAAGTTCTTTGTGGAGAGACCCTTTGATGAGGAACTAAAATTCCTTGGGAATTTTCATTACTATCGTTTATTTATTTTGATATTAAAATTATCCCAGCTATGGTCAGCGGGAGACCTTTCAAAAGCCGGTGTCCTTTTGACCAGTCACCACCATATTTTGAGCATTTCCTTATGTTCTCGGGCAATAAGATATTTCAGGCTCATCTTGTATTTCACCTGCCTCAGCCCTAGAATCAGCTTTTTCTCCAAGGAGATGTGGTTCCTTTTACTGAAGGTTCCTTTTATTGCAGATTGTTATTTATTTTTTACTTTATATTATTTATTGATTTGGAAACTATGATTTGCTTGAACTGTTAACCTGTTGCCATTGAGTCCATCCCAGCTCAGAGTGACCCTGCCTGTAGACAGAGTAGAACTGCCCCCACAGGGTTTCCAAGGCTGTACGTCTTTATGGAAGCAGACTGCCACCATCTTTCTCCTCTAAAGGAGCTGGTGGGTTCAAACTCCCCACCTTTAGTAAGCAGCTGAGTGCTTAGCTACTGCACCACCAAAGCTCCCTGCATGAGCTGTAAGAATTTGTAATTGTCTTATTTCACCCGCAGTTTGGATGGCACTCACATTCCATTGCAAGTTCGGCTTTAGAAGACAGGTTAATTTTATTTTATTTCTCACTAGTTTCTCCATTTTGAGTCAGAAGGACCCACGTGTTTTGGACAGAGACTCATCACCAGGAAACTATTCCCGTTTTCCGTTTGAGCACCATCTGGAGGGAGCTCATCGTCAGATGGGTGCAACACAGACCTGTATCCTCCAGAGTCCGCTGTGCTGCGCCCAACGCAGCCCGGGAGCTTTCTCAAACCTGGAGCGTTTGAAACACTTTACAAGGACACCGAAGCGAGGGCACGTGAGCGCCCCGACTTCCTCCCGACCCCGCCTCTGATTGGCTCCCAGGCACAGAAGAAATAGGAGACTGAGCGGCTGCCCTGGGCAGGAACTTGCCAGAGGTCTTTGGTTGGCATCGCCCCTTCTTGCTCGCCAGCCCGCGACAGAGCCGACCCTGGAGAGGATGAGGGCGTCCTGTGTGCTGCTCACCGCCCTGGTGGCGCTGGCCGCCTACTACGTCTACATCCCCCTGCCCAACTCCGTGGCTGATCCCTGGAAGCTGATGCTGCTGGACGCCACTTTCCGGGGTGCACAGCAAGTGGTGAGACGCAGCCTAGTGCTGGTTCTCTCTCCCTTCTCTTAACCAATATTTGAAGGGAGAAACCAAATTTTCGGATCGTGTCCCACGAGAATGCATGTTTTTTTCTAACGTAAAGAGGCGATCGCTTGTTAAAGTGGCATTTTCGGGGTGTCGCATTTGCCTCCTTGCTAGCAGTGGACTAGATCTGTGTCACCTCGTCTGCGCTGGTGACGGAGGACGTGAAGTTCTTGAATAGAATTTGGCGGCTATTTAACCCTTCGTCTGTCCTAAATATCCTCCTCTTTCTTGGTTTGCAAAGACAAAAAAACAAAATCTTTCCGCATTTTAAAAACCACCCCTCCCCCATTCTCGTTTCCCTATAAGCGCCGGCAGAGAGTGAGTTAACTATTTTAGAAGGGCTCGGGGAAAACAAGCTCTGACTCTGGGGAATGCAGCCACCTTTAAAACCGAGCCGGGCACCGGCGATCCTCCGCGTCCCCTGACTGTGAAGCGCTCCATTCTCGGGGCAGCAGGGTAAGCACTTGAGGAACCGCACGGATCTACCATTTCAGCCGTGGCACTTCTCATCTCAGCCCGAGAAAGGAGGCAGAAGACCAGGCTGGCTGGGGTGGAGGAGGCGCAGGCGGAGGCGGTGGCAGCCGCTTTGCATGATGCCTTTGTTTTCTGCCTGCCCTACAGCACTGTGCTCCGTCCCTGGCTGTCAGGGAGATAACCTTTGCCTGCGCCAGGATACCTTCACTGGAGGGGTTTCATTTTTCACTACTGTATTATGGGTGTGTATTTCTTCCACCCATAGGCAGGAAAATGTAACTTGTCTCTGGTTTGGTGCATAGTGAGAGACATTAGTCTTAGTGCCAGAGAATCTAAAATCTAAATACAGTCTGCAGCCAAGGCTGAGGCCCATGATTGGGCAGTATTTCTGAGCAGCCTGCTCTACCTAAACTCCTAACCCTCGTCCAAACCTAGTATCTTCCTTCTCCCAACCTTGCACTTTAATTTCAGGTTATTTTTGTAAACTCCTTCTTCCAGAAAGGACAACTAGAGCAAAATCCCACCCAAAACCCAAACCCTCTGCCACTGAGTTAATTCCGACTCATAGCGACTCATAGGACAGAGTAGAACTGACCCATAGGGTTTCCAAGTCTGTAAATCTTTATGGAAGCAGACTGCCACGTCTTTCTCTAGTGGAACGCTGGTGGGGTCAAACCTCGGACCTTTTGGTTAGCAGTCCAGCGCTTAAACTACTGTGCCATCAGGGCTCCTTAGAGCAAGATAGGGCAAAGTCATGATTTTCCTAGAGGGTTTATGTTCCTTTTCCCTGACCCCTCTGTAGGATTACATAGTCTGTGGGGCTTTGTCCTATCAAAAGCCCCTTAGGGTCTTGTAGCACATTCCAACATGGATTTGTTTTTGAGTCCAGCCACATTCTCCATCCCTAAGCTCGCTGTTGTCTCTTAGGAAGGGTCTCTAGATGCCCTTCCTTCCCTCCTGCTTCCTATAATGTTGACATGGTGGAAGAACAACCAATCCCTTCTGTAGCCTTGTTCTAAGAAAGACATTGTTCATGTAGGAAGCCCTGCAACTGCCCTCTTCCCCCATGAAATTATGTAATTTGGAAATAACACCCTTCCAAGATTCTGGAACACAATGATGGTTACCTGGGTGGGTTACATGGCTTTCTACAATAACTTCAGAATATGGAAAACAGGAAAAAAGAATCAAACTGCTGTGTTGGCCACAGAGATTATTCTTAGTTTGCAGGTCACCAAAAAAGTCTTTTTCATCATAAGTCATTTGGGAAAAGCCAGATTTGGAGAAAAGCCTTTCATCCTCTTCTAGACTGCCATCCCATCAAGGGCAAGGCTGGGTAGGGTCCTCTATAAAGTATGCCCTCAGCTGGTCTTTGGGAATGTTAATGTGTGTGACCTCAGGTCACAGTGATAGATGACACTGGGGTTCAGGAGTGGGTTTACACGGAATTGGCTCTTGTCACTTTTCTTCTGAATTTTGAAATAACATAACCACTCAGACCAGATGGCATTATATTCTTCCCAGTAAAGCAGTTTACCAGGGTCGCTTCAAATTTTCCTGGGAAAAAGGCAATGTAGCATAGTAGCAAGAGCATGACTGTTAGAGTCAGGCCTCCGTGGATCCCATCTCAGCCTGGCCACTTACTGGCTATGTTGTTGTTAGGTGCCATCGAGTTGGTTCCAACTCAGAGCAACCTTGTGTACAACAGAATGAAACATTGCTGTGTTCTACGCCATCCTTACGATTGTTATGCTTGAGTCCATTGTTGCAGCCACTGTGTCAATCCATCTCGTTGAGGGTCTTCCTCTTTTTCTCTGATCCTCTACTTGGCCAAGCATACCTTCTCCATGGACTGGTCCCTCCTGATAACACGTCCAAAGTATGTGAGACTAAGTCTTGCCATCCTTGCCTCTAAGCAGCATTCTGGCTGTACTTCTTCCAAGACAGAGCCCTGGTGGCACACTGTTTAAGCTTTCGGCTGCTAACCAAAAGGTCGGCAGTTCAAATCCACCAGCCACTCTTTGGAAACCCTATGGGCAGTTCTGCTCTGTCCTATAGGATCGCTATGAGTTGGAATCGACTCAGTGACAACAGGTTTGGTTTTCTGGGGCCAGACCAAAAAAAAAAAAAA